AGAAGTAAGCGTGAATTAAACGGAGAAATATAAAAAAAATAGTTTAAATCACAAAAGTCGGAGCTCGGATATCTGCCGAGATAGCTGAACAAAAAAACTTATTTTTTAACTTATGGAATTACTTCGCGGAGCTATGCCACGTGCTATTTTAACTCTGGAGCTGTCGGAAACGATCTGCTGGGTTCCGTCGCTGATTGCTCGCGACCCACCGTCGTGTCAGAGCCACTTGTCTTTTTACGATCGCAGCGCTTGTCGCTATTTATTAGTATATTAAAGCGCGGCTTTCAAATTATTATTCCAACAGTATATTAAAGCGCGGCTTTTAAAATTAATATTCCAACATATACTTATTACTATAAAAGGAAGCATCTAGCTATCTTAAGGAGATATGACAGATATTCAAATTCTGATTTAAAAGCTTTATATCTCTTTATTTGTCGAATTTAGGTAAAAGTGACAATTGAAACATTTGTTCAGAATCATGAAAACTACAATATATTTCAAAACGAAGCAATTTGACCAAGATTATTTTTTCATATAAATCGTGCGGAGTCCTTTGCTCGGAATCTGCTAATCGTTTTTCTTCGTTTTGATCTAGTCCCGTTAACGTCATTGCTCTTGAGTTCAACGTCGGTTTTCCTAATTTGTCATACTTTTTGAATTTAATCATCGCTGCCTGTGTCAATCAATGCGATCATTTCACACTCGTTAATGGATACCTGCTTCTTCATTCCATGAAAACTTTCTACTTGTCTAACCGTATAAGAGCTTTTCGTCGTCGTATCTGTTTGCGTATTTGTCTTCTGAGTGTTGTTTATACGTTTCGGCTTCAAGCATTCTATTAAAATATGTCTAAATTGATCGCAATTGAAGCACTTCCTACCTTTTTCTTTGTCCCGACAATTATCTGACTTAAGTCCGCTATGTCCGCAATTATAACATCGCTCTATTTTCGTGTCACTTACGTTCTTCGTTATTTTAATAGAATTTACATCGTGAGACTTCTTAAATTTTGTCTTATCTTTAGTCGTATTTGGTGTATATTCTTAGTTTATTCTTCAATTTCTCGAGTATACATGCACCATAAAGGATCAGCTTGTTAACATCGTTATTACTAATACCTCAAATCACATAGTCGACTATTGATTCTACAGAGATGTCTCCGTAACTAGCAATCTCCGTCACCGCATAAATGTATTGCTGTAAACTCTTCTGCGATTTCTGCTTTCTCTTTGACAATTCTTCGTGTAACTCCGCACTCGTTTTCTTTCTTCGGAATTCATTCAGCAGTGCTTTTTGAAGCTCCCGCGGCCAGCCTTCCGTGTGTTTTTGACAACGTAAAAATTTGGCTGATGTTCCCTTAACTGCCTTGCGTTCAAAGATAGCCTTCTCTAAAACGACGTCTACAATGAGATGTAAGACTTAAGATTTAAGAAAATTGACTAATCACAATTGATTATTCTTTTTAGTGAGATGAATATAATCGGCTATGATGGTCAATTTTCTTAAATCTTAAGTCTTCATTGTATAGACGCCGCATAATTCGTTAAGGTTAACCATCCGCGCAATATCATTAAAATCTGATAGCCATTTCTCAATTGAATAATCGTCATCGGCGATGAACGTAGATATTAGTGCTTCGACATCTCGAGGTCGAATTTTACAACCTGTCGCTCGTGCAGTCATTTCGTTATAATAAGTTCGCTGATCATCGTACTCGTAATTGTGTGATATCCGCATATAATGTCTTTTTGTCGTCGCTCTTCGTCATACACATATCTAACCTCATCTGTCTGTCGTGTATCAGGAGACAGGGTAGTGGCTTGGTGTCAAATGTTTAAACTAAATAAATATAAATAAAATATAAATAAAATTATATACTATTAATATATGTATATATAAAATGTATGTCAAGTCATGCCGGGTCTCTTCACGCGAGTTCGTCGCGTAGCGAGAACCCGAGATTATGAGATCTCAATAACGATCGAACCGATTAAGTTCCAAGTAGACTTAATTAACAGCTTGGGTTTGATTTGTGCAATGAAAGTGTTTTTTTATTTTTTTTCTACATGCCCTACGAGCGAAGATATTGCAATGCAAAGTCCGAAATGTGGGAATTTTAGATTGAGAAACGTCATCGTCGTCGCCCAGTTGCGGAGTAGGGGAAGTGTACTTTTACAATTTCTGACATAAGAAGCGCTAGAGTGCTAGGATTTCTAACCTTGCAGCCTCGCACGCTTCGATCGATGTATACAGGATAATTCAGAACAACCCCGGTGTCCTTGTAAAGACGTATTCGTGACTCAATTCTAAGACGATTTTCCTTTAAAAAAATTTTGTCCGAAGCTTAGTTTTCAAATTATAACGAGAAATAGATAGCGAATTACGGGCCGCGTACGGAAAGTAAACATGAGCGGCGTGATTTATTGTCTGACAGCAGGCAGTACGCGGGACCCTCGCGACGATCAGCTGACTACACGCGCGCATAAATATGCGTTTATATTTTCCCTCTCTCTCTCTTTTTCACATACACAACCTTACCTTTTAAAGATTTGTCGACTTCTCGAAAAAGATGGATGAATTCCCATTTCAATGTGATTTCCATGTAAGGAGTGTTTATTTTAATAAATTTTCGATAGTTTTAATATAAACGTCACAAGTTATCACTGACTGACACAAATCAAATAATTAATTAGTTAATTCTTTTTTTTTAGGTGTTAAACTACAAATCGTGTCACTTCACATTTCACACTCGATTCACATACAAACTATTCACTTGAAGAAATCACGAGAAATCTATGATGATCTGATTGATTGACTTTATTCGTTAATAACTCTGTAAATAATGGTCTGAGCCAAAATTAAAAGAGGAACTTTTAGTTCAAAATTTCATTCTTTTTCACGCCTTGAAATATTAATTAAGCGTTACGGGACATCCTGTATATCTTTCCGTTACACAATTTCTGTTATGAGCCCAGTAAAAAAAGCACGAGAATGAGATATGCAACGGAGCAATTCTGCTCAAGTAAAACATTTTCCCCGAACAGGCATTAATCCAAGGTATGTTATAACACTATAAAATGCATGATATCGTTACAAAATTAACTTAAAAAAAAAGTAATAAAGGATGTCAAGTGTAACCGCGCTCCTTGAAAAAAAACTTGTATCCAAATTAAATATAATTTTTTTAAAAAATAAAACCTAAATGACATCCTTCTTTATACTTTGATATTAAGTAACTTTACTTCAGTAATATGTTGTCACGCGCTCCCGTGAGTTAGATATCTCGCGCGAGCGCGGATCAAAACGAAAAGAAAAGTGAAATCGCGTAGGATTTCGGGAGGGAAGGTGACGGCCCTCCGGATTTCGTCCCTCCGGCGACCGACGAGGAGCAGCGACACGAAACTTGGGCGCCAGACGCGCTCGGCGGCACGTCACTCGCGAAACGCGAATTTTTAGCAATAACGCGACGGGAAAAGGTGATTACCCACGACGCTAACCGAGATTCACAACCAAACGCTGCTCCCCGAGGTCGATCGCGCGAGGGCCGGCCGGCTCTACCTAACGGTAGAGGGGCAGGGCGGAACTAAGGGCGGACGGGCGGCGGGATGGCACCGGCCGGGCGAAAGAATTCAGACACAGTATTTAGAATTATAATAATGCTACCGTTTATTCCCCGCGTGGCAGAGCGGTAAAAAGCAGTAGCCAAAGAAATAATACAGTGCGGTGATAACAAAAGAAAAGAATGAAAACGAAAAATAATTTGATAATTTCAAGGCCGATACCTCAGCGGCGCGCTAATCCTTGACGTAACAAAAGAAAAGAAATCGTTCTCGAACAGTAATCAATTCGGACCGTGATCGATAACGTGACCACCGTCAGCATCAGCGCGATAGTACAAAAAGAAACGTGGCTCAGCACGACGCGAGTACCGAGGTCTAACGACGACCGACAATTTCAATCGCGAATCCACGCGTCAGACACAAAGGCGAAAACGAAAGACAAATACAAAATCATTTATGCCGAACGTAACGAAATAGCGCGCGACGACACTAAATAATACGACGAGGAGTACTCGCGCTTCGAGTACTCGCGCACTTACAATGAACGCTCGCACACTGGTGTGCGAGGGC